TATGTATGTATGTATGTATATATTGATATATTGTGTATGCGTGTATGTATGTATGTATGTATGTATGTATGTATGTATGTGTATATACATATACATGCATACACAATCAGTGTATATATATATAATCTACATACCCACATACATACATACATACATACATACATACATACATACACGCATACACAATATATCAATATATATATACATACATACCTACCTACCTACCTACCTACCTACCTACCTACCTACATACATACATACATACATACATACATACATATACATACAAATACATATGTACCCATACGAATGGCACAGATCATATACACACATATATATATATTATATTATATATTATATATTATATATTATATATTATATATTATATATATATATCATGTATGTATTTTTCGTCTGCCTGTCTGTCTGGCATGGGTAAGTTCCAATAGGCAACGGGGCCCCGGCCCACAGAAGCGCCAGTGACGGCTTCGCTCCAGATGGGTGGCGGCCTGGCAGCCCCTGACGAACGGAAACGGCTTCCTGCGGCTGGGAATCGTCTGTGGAAGGATGCTTACGGCCTTATTGCTCACCTTTCCATTCCCAAGCCCTAGGAATGTAAGAAGATGAAGACTCTGCTTTCGAGATACTCGAACGAGTGGAAGAATCACCAAAGCAGAGGAATGCCAAGTAAGTACCATCAACGCCCAGCCACGAGAAAAGCCGTCTTGATGCTTTTTACCAGGAACTGATACCCCTCCAAGCAGAAAAGCCTAGGCCCAGAGCTAAGTAGCACCAGGCTTGGCATGCTTCAACCAACTTCGTTCTTCGAGAATACCACAGCGCCACACCTCCTACACCACTGCTGCTGCTGCTGCTGCTGCTGCTCCTACTACTACTACTACTACTACTACTACTACTACTACTACTACTACTACAAATACTACGAATACTACGAATACTACGAATACTACAACTACAACTAGTATTACGACGACGACGACCACGCCCAGCAGCAGCAGCAGCAGCACCACCACCTCCCCCACCACACACTACCCACTACCACTACCGCCACCACTACGACGAAGACTACCGCTGACACTACTTCTTCTGCACTACTACTGCTACTCCTCCTCCTCCTCCTCCTTCTACTACTACTACTGCGGCGACTGCTGCTGCTGCTGCTGCTGCTGCTATTGCTGCTATTGCTGCTATTGCTACTGCTACTGCTGCTGCTGCTGCTGCTACGGCTGCTACTACTACCACCACTACTACTCCGACTGCAAATGAATGCTACACGACGACGACGACTACTACTACCTTCTACCACTACTACCGCAACTGCCAGTGCTACTGCTGCTGCTGCTGCTACTACTACTGCGACTACTGCTACTGCTACTCCTACTGCTACTCCTACTGCTACTGCTACTGCTACTGCTACTGCTACTGCTACTGCTACTGCTACTGCTACTGCTACTGCTACTGC